GATATCAGTTCATTCATAAAATATTTATTTAAGTATGAACTCCAAGATGTTAATATACACTTGATTCGGTTAAGCTGATTACTCATAGATTCATCAACTTGGTATTAATATCATGAGCTGAACTTGTAAAAATTGCACTGTCAAAATATATTTATAAAATGTGATCATCAAGACTCATTGTGTATACTTTGCATACTTTGTTCGGTTAAGCCGATTACCTAGAAAATTTACCAATTCGATATTAAAAATACTAGCTGAAACGCAGGCAAATGAAGAGATAGAGATTTGTAAAAATACTGTATTGAATAAAATATTGAGCTGTGATATAAATACGCAGTTACATTTTGTACAAAATATAGAATGGTTACAACAGAATGAGAGAATTGATTGTTTGATTGAATTTGGTGGTTTTTCATCTTAAAATACAAAGCCTCGGGAAACCTAGCCTTTATGATTTTATATATTTATTTTAGGTCACCATACTCCCCAAAGATGTTCACATGTTTATCAACTGGCCAGTTTACAATTTAATACAACAGGGAACATTATGTAGGTTTGTGATCTACATCACCTTGTTGATCAGTGCAACGGGGCCAATCTGAGTAAACTGTAACTGCCAATCTGTAAACTGCCAAACGGGGGGTTTACTGAGTCGAATACTTGATAACTTTTATTTAATATTGATTCTTTGTGAATTTAATGGGAGTCTATCCTTATGACCCTATATCAACCCTAGCCTTCGACCGAGTGCTTTGTTTCCCCCATTTACTTTACACAATCAAACTCTTACTATTAAAAATGTGATACTCTGTTCAAAATTATTACAATATATGAAATACAAAACGTTATAAATAGTTATACTGACAATGGTAGAATTTGACCCTCACATAGAACATAAAAATAATACTATATCACAGATAATCAATACTCATAAAACTAATTGCCTATTTCAATTCAATGTAATAAATAATTTTCATTTGACTAGAATTACCATTTCAGCCTAAACTCTTTGTATAACATGACAAAATTTAATGAAACATTTTATCCTGAATTTGTGACTAGCCAAATGAAACATGAAATATTCGAACCAACTGTGACATGATTTCTGACTTGTAAATATGAACTGTACATGTGAAAAAATGGCAGATTGGCAGAACTAAATTATTTCTAAAACACAAATAACACAAAACATTTACTTACGTACACATGTCGACACATTTACATTCACACTGACGAAAGATTCACACGGATGGAACATTTACAATCTGACTCGTAGTACTTTGTCTGACCGAGCAAAATTTCATGACACAGTTTTTCCCGGTGTAGGACTTAATAATTCTTGTTTTTCGAGCTGGCGGTTATTGAATCAATTGAAAATACCGTCACGACGATCTACGATTCGCTAGAAACTGACATTTGCTATTAATTTGATGCATGTACGAATTTTCATCACGAACGCAAACAATCAATCCGGCATCTCAACTGTCTCGACTTAATACTAATAAAACACACCCCCAATTGCAGTTTGGCAAAATTTTGACAGTTGCGATACTTTGATGCACGTACAATTTTCACCCGAACGCGAATTTTTGAGCTACGATTTTAAGATATTAATAATATTGCCCCACACCGGTGACATGGCGACCTCTGCTGTTGATGGCGCGACCAACGATGTAAAAACTACTGGATTGCGCTCTCAGTAGCACTGCGGGCGCTGTTTTCGGTCTAGTTCCCCCACCATCTACTGGCAGTAGCCGACGCAGCCCATACACTCACCATTGTAAAACGCACCTTTTTAAGTTGCTGCTCTGTTTAAATATATAGATATAAAATATTGCTAATGCATGCCAAACACTTTTACTATTCTAAACTCTTCTTCTTTTCTTGCAGAAAATAACACATTTGAACTCTTAAAAACAATACTACATATGTCCAGTTTTTACCGCAAATCTATGCGTGATAGGCATTCTTTTTTATGACCTATTTTGTAAGATACATTGTCATTAAACATTGAAAGAAAAAAATATCGCGTTTACGTCAAACATAACGTTACCACTTCGGCAAAAACTTAGAAAAATTATTCTAAATTTTTATGTACTATTTTTTGATTAATAAAATAGAATTTCAATTACAAATATTGTACTTTCTATTTCACCTTTGTAATCACTTATTATTTTACCATGTACAATTTGGAACTAGCAATATCAGTTGTCTAAAAACATCTACAAAACGGGTTTAGTGAATTTGTAGTTTTAAAGAATTCAGATGGGCTATTTTCTGCAAGAAACAAAGACATATAACAGACATAAAAGGTTTAACTAGTAAAAAGAGTTTGACAAGCGTTAGCAATATTTTATCCCTATAAATTTCAACAGAGCAGCAAATAAAAAGTGCGTTTTATAATGGTGAATGTATGGGCTGCGCCGGCTTCTGCCAGTAGATGGTGGGGGAAGCTCGACCGCGCGGCCAACACTGAGCCAGCAATCCATGAGTTGTTTATATCGTTGGGCGCGACTACGAGTGAGGAGTGCACACGCCTCAATTCGAGTCCTTTGCTGTCGTGCGTTACGTCATGGTTGGACGACTTGTCCATTGCCTTGGCGCGGATTTTAAACCTTTTGATTTGAAATCGGCACAACGTACTATATTGAACAAATGCTACTTTTACCTTGCACTAACCATGGATACGGATCCGTACGCCTAATTGTTTTTGTTTATTGTTTTTGTGTTAATTGTTTTTGGGTTGATTGTTTTATCTTTTTGAAGTAAAAAAGTGTTTTTATGTTTTTGAGTACATTCTGCAGAATAGTAGACCAGTCCCTGGAGCATGGTGTATTTCCAGACAAACTCAAATATGCAGAAATAAAACGTTTATTTAAGAAAGGTGATGTTAATAATCCCTCTAATTATCGTCCTGTTGCGTTGCTACCTTGCTTTTAAATTTTTTTAGAAAAAATTGTCAAAAACCAACTAGTACAATATTTTGAAAATAATAATTTAATCAACCCCTCTCAATTTGGATTCCGGCCTAATCTTAACACTCAAAAAGCAGTAACCGACATGATCAACAATATTGCTGGGGCCTTGGATGGAGCACAGCAGACTGTGGGAGTGTCGTGTGACTTGTCCAAGGCCTTTGACTGTGTTGATCATGGAAAACTTCTTGAAAAATTAAGTAGACATGGAATAACAAATATAGTATTACAATGGTTTGCTTCTTATCTGAAAAACCGCAAACAAAGGATAATAATAAACAAATTTCAAAACAATTACATGTCAGATTGGAAGGATGTTCCATTTTGAGTGCTTCAAGGATCAATTCTTGGACCATGTCTATTCATTTTATTTGTAAACGACCTAGGAAGTGTATAAAAAATGCCAATATTTCAGTATGCAGATGACACAGCAATCATTTGCAAAGAGCAAAAAGGTGTCGACATTAATCACACAATCACCAGAGAGCTCCATTATCTTGAGGACTGGTTTGCTGTCAACGGCCTCTCCATGAATGTATCCAAAACACAGCTGATACAATTCTCTCCTCCAATATAAAAGACAAGATCACCCTAAATTCAAACTGAAATTTGATAGTTTCTCAAGATTCAGTTGATTATTTAGGAATAAGAATAGACTCACATTTAAATTGGCGAACTCACATTAAAAATTTATCAAAAAGACTTAATTCAGCTGTATTTGTGTTGCAAGTAATTAGAGATACAACTAATTTTGATACACAAATTGCAGTATATCATGCTTATTTCGCTTCAATTATGAATTACGGACTTATTTTATGGGGATCATCTAGTGAAAGCAAAAAAGTGTTTATTCTTCTAAAAAGGGCGATTAGACATATAGCCAAGGTTCCTCCAGATACACATTGCCAAGAATATTTCAGCCTATTTCAGCAAATTCAAAATTCTCACTTTATACAGCTCTTATATTCATTATATTTCTCTGATGGTCAAGAGTAACTTGGATACAATTACGGAGAGTCAGCCCTCTCACAATCATGATACAAGATAAATAACGCTCTGTGGTTAATCAGACCTCCGCAACAATTCCTGCCCGTATGCAAGCTGGTACGGTTACACTCTCACAGACTATGACGCGCTTCTAAACAGCATGCTCCCATAAAACTGCCTAGATTATAGTGGAACATTAACTTGGCTGTTTGAAAATTAAGTAGAAAACTTGGAAAAGTAAAAAAAAATATCATAGACTTTTTTAGCTTATAGGTTAATTTTAGTACAATTTTTAATAATCCATACTTATTAATATTTTCAGTTGTCTAACACCTTCCTGGCCCCATGAGTGTTGCATTATTTAAAGTAAACTGATACAAGTTGTCTACGTAGATAAAAGTTATAAGTGCTGAAGAAAAATTTTAAATTACTGTTTGGAAATAACCATGTCATTATAGAAAGTAGGTAGTCTTCAAGCCATTCACGCATTTTAAAACTAAACTAACTCAAGGAATTGACTTACTAAATACCAATCTATTGTGGGCAACTCGCTATTCAAGTATGGAATTTAAAAGATGGATAAGTTATTTATATGTATTGTTACATAAGTAACAAATAAAAATTTAACTTAACATACTCATAGGGATTTTTGACTACACCACTTGTTCTGAAATACCAAATAGAGTGTCCAGCTGACCAGAAAACCGAGAAATCCGACTCAACTTTAATGACTGAGAAAAGTTTGTCAACTGTGTATAGAAGCCTATGGCCCATTCATTAATGGTGTCCCATTGGTTTTCCACAACGATTACTACATCATGTTACACTGTCGTAAAATGTTGTAGGAACAACACTATTGCTGGGAAATGATCAACTTTATTAATTTCCAGCAAAATCAAAAATTGGATTGCCCAAACAGGGTTTGGTCCCAAGAAGTTGAGATTAACGCAATTCTGGTGTACACAGAAATAAAATCAGTATTAACAGTGTACACTAAAACTCTTTTGATCAAACTAAAGTTCTTGCTATTTTTTCCAGGAGGGTTGGCTCTGTCGGCAGTTTACCCACCTCTTGTAAATATCCCCGTCCAACCAGTCCAAGTAGTTACGAGAGTGGAGATGGCTCAACCCATGCCCTATTATCAGCAAACGGTTGGTTCTTATATAGCTAGTTATAATCTGTTCATTCTTATTTTAAGGTTATGTATACAGGGTGGAACACAGTTAATTGTTTTTTTTTATAATTCATAATTTGACTATGGATTAAACACTCACTAGACCAAATAACTAACCTGAGAACATGCCGTGAATTTTGTGGACAAACCTTGAAAATAGAGATGGGCCGGTTCTGGTTTTGAAGGAATGTTAATCCTCAGTACTTGTGTCTTTGGATTTGCTGTAAAATTGTGATCATGGAGACATTATATTAGTCTTCCGCGATTGTGGCAACATCTGGTATATTCAATCGTGTAATATTCGCAGATGGTTTTTGCGATCGCTGGCTCAGCTTGATTTTATATCATAGGAGCTTTCAGCAGTTGGTAACTTATTTTGGTCAGGAGTTGGAATCACATTTGATGTGCCTGAAGTATGTCGACTAAAAACAACAACAAGAAAATTTCTGTGATACCCCTGCCTTGGTTTGTCCACAAAGCCGATGTGTCGCTGCGGTGATTCCGCCTGCACCTGGCCTAAAAGTCAAAGTCAAAGTCATCTTTATTGTCACAAAACGTTTTTTTTATGCTCTGGCACAGCCAGACAAAACAGGTGACATTGTCAAACTATACTAAAATAAACTAGCTTATATTGGTAAAAATAAATACATAGTAGGTAACAAAACAAACAATTCACATTGATTTATCTTCAAGAAACTGACCAATACTATAATAATTCTTTTCCAATAAAAATTCAAAAACTTTTTCTTTAAAAGATACTAATCCTATTATAGATTTGTAGTACCCAGGCAAATTGTTAAAAAATCTTTTACCCATATAAGAAGGTGTCCTTTCCACAAGATTTAATCTGTGTATAGGATATTGAAAATCTGTATGAAATCTAGTGTTATAATTGTGCCGATTATTTTCACTGTGGAGTTTTTCAAAATTTGATTTCACATACAATAAACATTTAAGAATATTCAAATTAGGGACGGTTAGAATCTTTAGTTCTTTAAAAAGTTGTTTGCAAGAATGTTTTACGGGTTTAAAAGTCATAATTCTAAGTATTCTTTTTTGAAGTTTAAAAAGTTGATACGAATCAGGTGTGACGCCCCAAAGCTCTATTCCATACTGTAAAATTGACGAAAATAAAGCGTGATAAATCATTAGTCTAGTGTTTAAATCAACAACATTTCTTAAGACCAACATTTGAAAACATACTGAATTTAACTTTTTAGAGGTGTTATGAATGTGATTCTTCCAATTCAATAAACTATCTACATCAATTCCTAAAAATTTAGCTGTGTTGCTAAGATTTATTTTTTCATTATCAAAATAAACAAACACCGTTGGCCCTTATGTCACAAAAATATGCAAATATAACCTTGAAAAACGTTGAATTTAATTTTCAAATTTGAGTCAGTACCCTGTTGAAAAGAAGGGAGAATGAGCATGGCTGAAATAAAATCTTTCTGTCATTTGGTAAGTGTTGTAACTTGTCTTTGGTCCTTTTACAACAGATGACATATTTTCTGCTGTTCCAATGTATTTATTCCATTTACAATTGGTTGCCTAATACCATAGCAACCTGGAGAATGAGAAACGGAAAATAACAAACTTAAACAATGTTGGAATTCAAAAATACACTTCATCACACTAGAGTGTACACTGCTCAAATTTCCACTGTTGGATAGTAAAGAAGTTGAACATAAACTTCTTGCCTTTCACCATAAACCACACCTATTCTCCCATTTGCTAATTTTAGTTTGTTGCAGATTAAATAAAAAAAGGCAATTTAGAGAGTAAAATATATGTTGAGTTGTGTATATTGAGGGGGTGCCAGAGATTACTCTCACATGTTGGATAAAAACTCCTTGCACCAGCCCTGGCTGAAAAGAGTGAAAGGGTTAGAATGTTAAAGATTTCTTGTGAACAAAGCGGCATATAGTTTTGAAGAATTTTCCTTGGTATAATAAATTCATCAAACTCAAGAAAAATAAAAAAGTAGAAAGTAAGTTCACATAAATATATATTGGTTTTATTTCTTGTTACTATTTTTCTATGTAAAGATGTACTTCTGTATGCCGTTCATGTATACTCTTGTATATTTTATATTGAATAAAGTATATTTGAATTAAATTGAATTGATGGAATACAGCAAACTGGAGCGGCCGGGGCCAGTAACCATAGAACTACTGAGACATCCACTGGTTGTATCAGAAAAACTACGACCACGGCGCAAAGCAGCCAAACAAGCAAAGAGCGCAAAGATCAATCTGGAAAAAAGAGATGGGATTTGGAACCACATGAGTTTGATGAGTCACAAATTAGTAAGGTAAAGTGGTATAGATTTTTGAGTTTGATGAGTCACAAATTAGTAAGGTAAAGTGGTATAGATTTTGAAGTTAGAAGAATTATTTAGGGTTATAAAACAGTTTAACCTTTCATCATTGGAGTATTGTAAAGCATTAGACTCGGGACCGATTTGCTTTATCATTGTGATATCCCCCAGAGGCCAAAAACACTATTCATTCAAATTTTATATATGCATACCTCCATATATATATACATATGTATATCGTATATAATATTTATCAAGTTATTGTGTTTGGGGGAAGACGATAACTTGTGTAGTTTTGGTCCGATTTTGATAAAATTTGGCACGAATGTGTAGAGCTTGATGAGTTCATGAACCAGCAAGATAGGGTCATGGGGGTTTTTATGGGGTTTTTAAGTTTTTCAGAAATAGTTTTTTTCAAATTTTTACCCTTAAAACATGGAAATACCCAATTTTTATTACAGCCATCGAAGTAGAGCTTACTAAAGGAACAGTTTTCTATATTACAACATTTTTGTGCGATCAAAGGTTACTTAGAAAATAAAATAAAATTGTACATAATTTCTATGTTATTCTTATGGAGAAACACTCATTCTTGTAATTTACTTGTTTATGGATATATTTTGATTAAATTTGGCAAATTTATTTGTTTCATCCTATACTATTTATTAATATTTGATAAAAAAAAACAAAAAAAACACATTTCTCTTCTTTGTAGCAGCAAACCTATTTACAGTAGCACTCCAATTAATTATGCAAATCAATTGGGATAATTCGATCACGGCCCCATCGTCAACATGTCCCTTGCTCGTGTTGCGATCTTCAACATGTCCGGCATTTACGGTGCCACCGTTACATGTCTCAAGGTCACGTAGTCAGCGTGAAGATCTCATGCGTTCATGGAGACATCACCATCGTCTCTAGAGTTTGCAGAAACATCAAGATCATCTCTCGCACTCGCAGTGACATCATCAAGGCCAGCTGCCATACCTGCGACATCTTCCGCAATTGTGAAAACGTGATCATCGTCAGCCGTGGCACGGCGAAATCGCCGACGATCGGAACGAATAATACCGCAGCAAATCTAATCTTTTCCCAATTTTTGGGAGTAGCCTATATTTTTCCCGAAAATTTCCTGGACCCGTCCATCCCTAGTTATAATTATGATAACCAATGTTCCTGGTAAAGATGGAAATTAAATGTTATGTTTAACGTGAAGTACAGTTTTGTTGATGTAAGTCTATAAACAGACATAATACCAAACTTAATAAAATGTTTTTACGGTGAGCATCATACTTTAAACTAAGCATTGATCGTATTGTTTTTTTTATGTCAATTTTTTGTAGGGTTTTTTTTCATTGCTGAACCTCAGCCATTTTGTTATGCATTTCTGTGATGAATTAATTGAATTGAATTTATATGAATTGTTGAATCTGTGACTATTCCCATCAATGTATTAATGGTTTATCCTTTTTCCTTTTCACCATTTTGTAAACCTAAAAATTTGCCTTCTTAATTTCAGGATAAAGAACTACTTGATTTTGACCTGGAACATATAACTCAACGCTTAAATGAAGAGAAGAAGAGCTTACTAGATATCATGCGCCGCTGGGAATCTTTTAAAAATCAGATGAAATCTAGTAAATCAAACGGAAATGAGCATTTGGCAAGAACAGTTGAAACTGAAAGGAAAACCAACATGCAACAGGTAGGTTATATGTATGTTGTTTCTAATCACTTTATTTGGCCTACAAAATGTATTTTCATGCTTTGATCTAAAAGTTTATATTTTAGTAGTCTCCCATATTATCCTGTTGTGACCCAGATTTTCTGCCGGCAAAATCTCGTAGGGTAGACGCAAAACTTGTCATCACCGCCCTAGTCAGTGGGGTTTGGTTGGGAACCTGTGATTTAGAAGTGATTCTGTGGGTTCACACTACTTAAAAGGCAATAATATAAGTAGATAAATTAAGTAGTACCACCCTGCTCACATACAGGGTTACACGTAGGAACCTGAAAAGGGTTAAAAAGGCCTAGCCTTTATCCCACAGAGTCTGAGATAAAACCAAAAGAAAGTGTTTTAAATTACTAGTAAGAAATAAAAGAAAATTAAAAGGAAAAAATTATTTTTATTTAGAGAATCTCTTAATTTTTGTTGTTAGGGAACACGAATTGATTATTTGTATAGATACATCATAATTATTTCAAAATCGTTGTTAAAATAATCATATGTTCAAAGGCAAAGACAGTTCAATTTGACTAACAGACATCAAAGAACAATAATCGTAAAAAATGGTAAAAAATGTATTTCACAGTGGCTTAACACTAAATGTGGGGTTCCGCAAGGGTCAGTACTAGGCCCCTTGCTATTTTTAATTTTTATTATGAGTTACCTCGAAATGTATCGTCTAACCTTATCTTATATGCTGATGACACTACAGCAATAGTTAAATCAAATAATTTGCAAAATCTTAAACAAGAAATCAGTCTTTCTATTCTTAATTTATCTAATTGGTTTACAGCCAACGGGCTAAAACTTAATAATTCTAAAACACAGGTGATGTTATTTCAAACAATTCAGAATAGGCAAAACTCCACTGTTGAATTATCTTATGATAATAATATTATATCTGTGATAACTACTATAACTATAAGGTAAACATGGCGACATCTAGTAACACACCTTGCTAGACTTGAAGTGACGATCATCAAGACGGAAAACTCCTTGACCGATCGGCAGCCAATCAGGGAGCTCCACGCCGATGTAGGCAGTGCAGCCACCCAGTAACTTAATCTGTTTCCGGTTACTAATAATCTAATATGGTACTATTGCTACTATATTACACTCGCCACCATTTAGATTAGGCCCACACTACTGCTGTAAGACCACAAATAACATACTCTTCCAACATAAAACTTTCTCTTCATAATAATTTCTTTTTTTCATTTTTATTAATTAAACCTTGATTCCAACTTAAAAATTCTTCTCATAAAACTAAAATAAACTCTTCTTACTTCTGCCTGAAAAGCTTAAAGGTCTAGCTTTTCAGGCTTTTGTATTGTCCTTTTTGACCTTCTAAGATTGGGCGGGCTGCACTGCACTACCGCAGGTGGATCTTCATGCCTTGACTGAACCGCTGCAGTCTCAGGGTCCTTCAATGGAGATTGCCGCCTGGGCGAAACTTGCTGCCTCTCCTTGTCCTCTGAAGTTTCCTCTCGCTCAGGAAGTACTGGTTTCATGGGAGACCTCGGCTCACAACTTGGCACTGCTATCCCCTCCTCTTCCGTGTTCACTCTAGACCTGAGGTGGTCAGCATGGCAACGCCTAACTTTTCCCAATACACTAACAAGATATATTACAGAACTTTTTATCTCCAGAACTTTTCCAGGTACCCAATCGATTTTCTCCTGCCTGACAGTTTTGACGAACACTTTCTCTCCAACTTCAAAGGACCTTGCCCTTCCCCTATGCCTATCCGAACTCTCCTTCTGTCTGTCCAGGTTCGTGTCAATACGAGCGTTGAGGTTAGGTTTGAGAAGTGCAAGCCTAGTTTTAGGTTTCCAGTTGAGAAACAATTCTGCCGGGGTAAGTCCGGTTACAGTGTTAGGTGTATTTCTGTATGTCATTAGGAAGTTATCAAGTTTATGTTGCAAAGTCAGAGAACCAGTACCACCTTCACTCAACACCTGTCTCAACAGGTTCTTCTTCACTTCTTGAACGCACCGCTCGGCCGCACCATTTGACGCAGGATGATAAAGAGGTGATAAGACAAACCTTACTCCATTCTTCTTTAAGAATTCTTTGAACTCAAAACTTGTAAAAGAAGGACCATTATCAGATACTAGAGTGTCCGGAAGCCCATACGATGCAAAAAGTGAACGGAGACGCTCAATGGTCTTGAGAGAACTAGTAGATTTCATAACAAACACCTCGATCCACTTGGAAAAACTGTCTACTAGTACTAACATTTGTTGCCTAGAATTAGTATCTTCAGCGAAATCTATGTGCACCCGTTGCCATCTGCCATACACACGGGGCCACTGCTGGAGAGGGACTTTTGGAGCTGCATTCCTCGTACACTGACAAATATAACAAGAAGACACTGTTTCTTCAATACCTTGTTCTATACCGGGCCACCACACATAGCTACGTGATAACAGCTTCATCCGTGTAATGCCTGGATGTTGATCATGAAGCAATTCTAAAACTTGATTCCTCAATTTTGTCGGAATGACCACACGGGCCCCCCACAGAAGACAATTACTATCCACAGAAAGTTCATCTTTCCTTTTTACATAAGGCAATAACTCTTTATCCACAGCGCCATACCAGCCGTGCCAAACATAATCTCTTACTTTAGATAATATAGGATCAGTACCAGTGAATTTAGCAATTTCCTTAGAAGTGATAGGTGATTCGGTACTCACCGTGCTGAAGCAGTTTAGTACCTCCACGCATTCCTGAGTGTGCGAGATAAAGTTGTTTTCCAGTTCCAGTGAATCACTTGCCGGTAACGGCAACCGGGATAAGGCATCGGCATGTGGCACATCAGACGCCTTGCGATATCTCACTTCGAAGTCATACGAAGCCAAAATCAGGGCCCATCTCTGTAGGCGTGCTGCGGCTAGGCTTGGAGTTCCTCGCTTTGAGCCAAAGATAGTAGCCAACGGCTGGTGGTCACTCTGTAATATGACATGTTTTCTCCCGTAAATATACTTATGAAATTTCTTAGCACCAAATACTAATGCTAGGGCTTCCCTATGAAGCTGAGAATAATTTTTCTCACTTTGACTTAGAGTTTTAGAGGCGAAAGCAATAGGCCTCTCTTCGCCATCAATCAAATGGGACAACACCGCCCCCACGCCTCGAGGGCTTGCATCACATGTAAGCACTAGTGGCTTATTGACATCATAATGTACAAGAATATCAGAAGATAACACCCAGTGTTTACTCTGTTTAAAAGTTTCAGCACATTTCCTAGACCAAACAAAAGGAACATCCTTTTTCAACAACTCATAGAAACAGTTCAGCTTATCAGAAAGATTGGAAATAAATCTACCATAGTAATTAATGAGTCCTATATACGATCTCAACTCCTCCTTACTTGATGGTTCCGGGGCATCCTTGATGGCTTCCACTAGCCCTTCTCGTGGACTTATACCTTCAGCCGACAACCTATAACCTAAATAGTCTACAACAGGTTGTAAAAATTTGCATTTACTATCGTTAACCTTCACTCCGTATTCTTGGAAGCGTTGAAGAACTTGCTCCAACCTAGACACTGCTTCAGGGTATGAATGTCCGCCAATCAAGACATCATCAAGGTACGCTACCGTACCGGGAAGATTTTTAATTATCTCATCAATAGCTGCCTGAAACAAAGCAGGTGCACTGGATAGGCCATATGGCAAACGAGTAAGACGAAATAATCCTTTATGTGTTGCCAAGGTTAACAACTCCTGTGAATCCTCAGCGACCTCCAGTTGAAGATAGGCTGTCTGTAAATCAATAACAGAGAACACAGAACAACCAGATAATGAAGCAAAAATATCCTCGGGTTGAGGTAAAGGATAGTGTTCAGTTTGGATAACTTGGTTTAACGTTACCTTAAAGTCCCCGCATAGCCTAACTCCTGTAGGCTTGGGCACAACAACCAGTGGGGTTGCCCAGTCGGAACTCAAAACAGGATAAGCAACTCCATCATCCACCATCTTGTCTATTTCCTCTTCCACTTGTTTGCGAAGTGCGAACGGCACTGGACGAAATTTGCAGAACTTCGGTACAGCTCCATCTTTCAAAATTATATGTGTCTTCACACCCTTGATTGAACCTAATTTTCCTTCAAACACAGAAGAAAACTTTTGCCTTAAATGCTTAACATCTTCCTTGGCCCTAGGCTGAACCGAGTCAGCTGATTGAAGTGAAGTTAGGTTAGGTAACTTGTCAATAGAGTTTAGGCTAGGCCTATTGAAAACGTGCTCGTCAGAGCGGTTTACAGTTTTATCTTGAGAAAATATAGACTTCCAGTCTAAGGTTACATGTTCAAGCCAGTTTCTACCTAGCAACATTGGTTGACCCGTTTGGCCTAACTCTACAATAACTAACGGCAAGTCCTGATAAATTTGGTTGGCCGCTTTTATTCTAACCAAAATCTGTCCCAACACACTTACTTCATTTCCTGAATAGGTAAGTAGTTTTACATAACAAGGCTTTAAAGCCAGATGTGAAAAATATTTCCGATACGACTCAAAAGGGCAGACCGTAAGGGCGCTGCCTGTATCGAGCTCCATGGTCACATTATGGTTTTCAATCAGCAACCCTACTTCATAACCCGCCTTTCCATCTCCAAGGCCTACACTATACAGACATAAGTCCTGTAAAACTTCCGATGTCTCTTCAACATTGTGAACCTTAAACACTTTTTTGTTAGTCCTAGGCCTATCAGACACATCCTTCGACCTACACACCTTACCAAGGTGTCCAATTTTTTTACATATATTACATTTAAAATTTATATAAGGACATTCATGAGCCTTGTGCTCTTTCGCACAACGATAGCATTTGAGCTTATGAAATTGGCCAACTAGGTTCAAAGGCAAGGTCCTTTGAAGTTACATGTGCTTGATAAATGCCTAATTGCTACCATAAAATCAGCAATACTTTCATTGGGACGCTGAACACGTGAGTAGAATGTGTAGCGTTCGGCT